ACCAAACTAATACATCCCATTTATTAATTCTATACATATGATTATTCCTATAACACCATAATAGTCTGGTGATTTCTTTTTATGTGTTTTATACTTTCCTAGGTGTTGTATGTGTGTGTGTATTACTTATGTTTTATTAAATTTTACACGTAACTTAGTTATTGTTATTTTTTGGATTTATCCTTGATTTATGACAGCCAGTGTGTATTTCAATTTATTTACTTTCTATTCACGTTTTAAAAACTATAGCATTTTTTTTTATTTATGTAATATAAATACAAATATGATTTAACATATTAATAAGAATTATAAATTAAATTTTCAAGTTAATTTTATTAAAGAGCAAATATACCCTTTAAATGATAGCATCTCAAAACAAAATTAATTTAAATTTAATTAATATATATATTTCTAATTAAATGTTTAAAGCTGTGCTTATTGTTAAGCATATTTCAATTCCTTTTCACATACAACACAATTATAAAGTATTTTATTCAATCTCATCCCATATGTATATATATATATATATATAATTATGTTTTAAAACAAAATTTGATCTCTTACAAATACCTTCACTAAATCAGTTCATCCATTTTCCCTTTTAACCTTTAACTTTTCATATTAATAAAGCTTTTTTCGAACGCATGGATATCATTCCAAAGAAATGAATTTTCAAAACAACTTTGAAAGCTCGTGAAGTGAAATGAATGGGTGAAAAAACCTTATTTTTAGAAACATCGAAACCTTTTTGAATAAAAAAGTGATGGAACTCAGCAAATCCAATTTAACGCAATTATTTATTCCATTTTATAGATACTTCAAATATTGTAGAATGAAATGAAATCTATGAAATGCGATTAGTAAAAATAGAATGGCTCTAAAGATACGGGGAATTCTAAAATTCATTTTAATTAAAATATTGCATTAAGTTACTCATCTCGGATTTCTGAAAAAATCATCTTAACATTTTTTTTATCTAAGACCCTTATAATTAAATAGTGTATTAAGTACGATGGGGAAAATTTATTTTAAGATAGGAGTCTAAAAAAAAATCAATCTCTTTTTCTTAACTTCGACAGATAATCAGATAAATGTAAGGGAGAGGTTGAAGCCCCCCACACACACAGAATTTACTTCATTCTAAATTTAGGAAAATGTACTTGTTTTTCAATAAGGAAAGCATTTATTAGCGAAAAAATAATTAAATATAATGTATATTTTTTATTCCTCCTTCTAATATATTTATATTTTAATTTTTAATCAACCAAAAATACACTTAAGGAAAAAAAAATAATAATAATAAAATTTATACCTTCGTACAAAAAAGAGGCAGTTTCTCAGTTTATAACCAATATAAGTTGAAACGACTAAAAGTATTTTTTTCCAACTTCGAGTATTATTACTAAGCTTATGGAAATTTCCCATCTACATTGACATTTTTATGATTAGTAAAATACGAAAAACAGTTTTCATTTAATCTCTCTATTTTTTAAAGCTATATGTATAATCAAAAATAATTCATTATTAAATGCAATCGGTAAATGTGGTTAATTATTAATATACACTCATGTGCAAAATTAAGATCACAAACATAAAATCTGCTAAAACTGATGAACTATTTACTGTATTGACATGAAATTTGGCACAGAGACATATTACGTCACAAAGAATATAGCAACATAACAATATGGAAACGATTTTAATTGTGAGTTAAGATGCAAGTCATATCAAAAATTGTGTAATCATGAATAAGAGATAAGGCATTTACCTCGGAAAAGTCTGTGTAATATGGTGTGTGGACACTGTGCACAGCAATACAAGCCTCATAAAGAATTGCCGTATTGTTTATGAGAATGTCGATAAGTATTTGAGGCAACAAAGCCCTTTTTTAAAAAAAAAAAAGTACTTCTAAATTCTGGGGGGGGGTCCTGGGAAAGAAGCTACGCTGAGAATTTTTTTTCTAGACCATCCCAAACATATTCGATAGAATCGCGATTCGGAGACTTCGAGAGTCAATCCATACGGTGATATCATTCTTTTTCATGAAATTTAACAACAATGTAAGTTGTGAAAGTGCCCCCCTATAATGCCCTTGTCGTAGATTATCTGCGTGAGCTAGAGGTGTAGGGTCAACTAAAGAATGAGAGGTTTCCATGATCTTAATATGACTTTATTTTAAGAGCTTAAACTTAAACCTCTAACAGATTAGATAATAATTATATATGTGAGAATCTACGATGAACAAACACACAATACAAGTAATACCGAAAGAAGTAACTTGGACCACTATCAATATCTAACCCGTCTAATCTCAATTCCTATAATAACTCAAGTCCTAATATTAAATAGTCAATCCTGCCTTAATTTAATCGTTGATCCGAGACTAAGGAAGTTGCGTCTTTACTCGAGTGCAATGGTATGCACCTTGACCTAATGGCTCTATCTTCGAGATAACCTTCGTTGGCTGTCATGAATAAGAGTCACTTCACGATTGTATCAATCTCTAACATAACATTCCCCAAATTGCCACACTGCTTACTTAAACTTCTGATATTTAAAAGCTATCTAATTTGCATCTTTCCTTCACGTTTCACCTCTTGGGTTTTGGTTGGAAAAGAGTTGCCATTAATCTTGGCCCCAAAATAACCCCTAAGGACATGTTAATGAAAAGACGCGTGAGCCCGTCACAAAGTTCTGTGCGTCCGAGCATTATCATTCACAAAATATAGTCTGGGCTCATAGCACCGAGAAAAACCTCACATAGGCTTTCAGGATATCATTCCTATAGCGCTGTGAATTGACAGTGCCCTCATCAAAAAGTACAGTGGTGTACGACTGCCCAAAATTATACCACCACACAAGGTTATCGATGCCACCAAATCTATCATTTTTTGTTACGCAGGAGGGATGAGCGCTAACTGCATTTTCTGTCCAGGTGAAAACTCGATGAGAATCACTTTGTCTGGTACATTTCAACTCATCACTGAAAAGAACAAGCTATCCTTTTTTCGACGTCCACGGCTGATGTTTTTCAGTTTTGATGTTTGCAGTTGACGAGACGCACTAGACTAGCCGCCGAGAAGGGAAGACCAGTCTCTGCAAGACGGTTGTTAATTGTTTGCCTGGAAATTCTTCTAGTCACAGCACCAAGGTCACGAGCAAGCTGAGGAGCCTTTGTCTTCCAATGTCGTCATGCGTTTAATGAAGTACCACTTGTTTGTAATTGAATCCACAATCAGGTGACCACTTTCAGACCATTTGTAACGATCGACCCACCTCCACTTGAGAGTGGTCAGCTACAAACCTGCAAACAGCTCTCCATCTCAAGAAATCATCTGTGTGATTCTCTTAATCTAATACGTTAAGAGAAGTCATTCACTGCAAACAGACTAAAGTGTTTGTTTTAATGCAATACTCACACAACGGGAAGTAAAATTCACTTACGCTTGAACGATGTCAATTTAGTTATTCCGTAACAACCAACGCTAAGCAACATCTTTTCCTAAGCTGAAGGTTGATATTAAACTACTCATTCTTCAAAGTATATAAGAAACAAATTCTAAAAGTTTTACTCTAGGCAATTTAAAATTACTACGAAAAACATGTTATTTTACTTAATTTTGGACGTGGGTATAAATACATATTTACAACAGATAAATTTAAACAAACTCCTAAAATTATAAGATAGTTTATGATAGGTTGTGAGTATATTTCCGAAGTTTTTTTTTTATTTAAATATGCTAGGAAATACCAAACCAAATTTTTGACTAAGTATAATCCAGAAATAATATTTTAGAAAGCCAATTATAAATTCTTTAGAAAATTTAAGGGCAAGGTATCAAATCATGTTTTATAAGCTTACATTGCAAATTCCAATGCCAAGCATTGAAGACAAGAAAAATATGTATATTTTTTGTAAGTACCGTAAAATCCGGCGTATAACGCGCACTTTTAACACATAAAATAAGATCAAAACTTAAGGGCGCGCGTTATACGCCGGGCATAAAAACGATAGCTTTAAAAATAACGAAAGAGATAAGCATAAAGAAAATTTTACTTCTACATGTATCTCTCGAAACCCTGTTTATTTAAAAGAAATGACTTGCCTAATGAACTAAAAGAGTTGTAGTTCTAGAAGTATAATATTTTTTCAAAAGTCTGGGAGATAATACATCGAATAAATTACTTCAAAATATAAGAGCAATGTATACTAATACTTCTAATTGCTTCGTAAAAAGGGGGTGCGCGTTATACCGCGAATATACCTAAAAATCAAAAAATTCAGCTTGGAAATATAGGTGCGCGTTATACGCAGGATTTTATGGTATTTATCAAATGTTTCAAATAAAACTTATGTATATTTCTTAGATGGAGCTGCATAATTGTTGAAGTCGTCTCGTAGATTGAATAATGCTTTGAAGCCTCCATCTTGTAGAATCATTGAGCTTGTCTCACTTTTTAAGTTTTATTGAGCCTTACTTATAATACAATGTTTTGTTAAGTAACAGATGCGTTATACTTGCAAGTAACAAATTTACAAAATCGGTTGACTTTAACCATCTATAAAATAGTTTCCTATATATTTAGTCAATCGTAGACTCTAACGGAATTTATGTATAATGTTTATCCCTTTGTAAATTTATGTATTTAGTGGCTAATGTGATTCGTTTTCTATTTTATTTCATATAATTGTAGAAATTATTTTTGCAAGTAACATAAAAAAATAAATAAATACGTCAATTCCTACTTAGGGCAACAAAGAAAATTTTTTTATTCTAGTTATTTTTTATTAAGCAGTTACAATTAATATAAATATGTATATACTTATGACAGAATCGCAATATTAAGTGACAAAATCGAAGGCGATTTTCCTTGTAATTTTCATTCTATATATGGTGTTGAACTATTTTTGTTTGTTTGTTACTACTTATTCATTAATTAAATTTAATTATTCTAATAAAACAGTATTGTAAGAAAAACCAGAACCTCAGAAATTAAGCCATCCTAGGTGGGATTCGAACCCACGATCTCTGTTTTAGGTGTCCAACGAGCTATCTTTTGCTCTACAGGGACACAACGAAACGAGATTCCTTTTTATATACATTGTTGGACTATTATTTTTATAGTCGTTACTATTTATTCATTTTTTTAAATAAATTATTGTATTAATATTTGAAAAAAAACTGTATTAACATCAAGTGTCATCCCCCTACAATTTTTAAAAAAATATGTTTGAACTTGAATGGATGAATATAAAGTATTTTATTAACGATTGAAAATTTGAACAAGATATATATATAGAGAGAGAAAGAGAATGAACTCTCTAATATATAGTGTAGATTTGGAAAAAAAATATCCAATAATACTTTATTACAAAAATTTACAAAAGAAGCTAAATAGAAAAATTAGATTTCAGAACACGTCATTTGAAACGGTTTGTAAATTTAGTGTTCATTGCAATAATTTGCATCTGTATTCAGAACACAAAATACTACAATATTAATCCCAAATTCAATTTGAGCACAACCCCTGTTCGGAATAGCCACCGGTAAAAGTGAAGAATCTGCCGGGCAATGCTGTTTAATTTTCAGACATGTCGTTAAATATGAAGTCAAGCGGAATGGAGAAATGAAATTTCTCCCCTCAACTTGAGCTAAGGGCTCCGATACTATGCCCTTCACTTCTCCTCTGCTGATATCTGCGAAGATTCTTGAGTTAACAGCGCGAATCACAACTTGCGAAAATGCTTCCTGTTTGAGGCGAAAATGTTATTGCTCAGAAATGCTTTTCGGATATCATTCGCAAAAGAGTAATATGAATGTAATAAAAGTTTAATTTGAGTTCAGAGGAACGTAGGAAAAAGGACATGTTTTTATTTTGTTTTATTTTAGTTTTTGTTGCAATAAATGCTATATTACTCGAATAAAATGGTTCCATTCTCGAAGAAAATGCAATATGTTTGCGAGTGATGAAGGGATAAAATAGAATGTGTCAGTTATCGTTTGTAGCAAAAATGCAGCGACTGAAATATATTTATTGTAATTGTCTTTTAGATATGCATTTTAAAAAGAAAGATAATATAAAGGGATACTTGGAGAAATTCCTCTGGAACAAAATATGTACTCATTTATTTTAATGCGGAGAAAATAGGAGATGTTTTCTATTCTAGAAAAATGTTATAGTTTTCACATGAAGAGGGTAATCATGGAAAATAAAATGTTATTGACTGTATCGGAAATAACAAGCATAACATTTACAAGTGAATGGAGCATCAGAATTTTCGAAACAGGTGAACTAATGGAATTTATAAAATAATGAGCTTTTTAACAGTTATCTCTAGAACTTTTGACTTATGAATCTTTCTTCTATCTGTAATTATTTTGAATTAGGAACAAAAAGTAAGACTAGGAAGGTATTGAATTCTGTAAAGGAAAATCCAAATGTGATGATTTTAACTTACTCAATTGTATTGCAAAATATTCCTATTGCATTGAAAAATGGTGAAATTTAGTAAAAATTAATTATTTCAATTTTTTTGGATATTTAGCAATTTATTTATATAAAAATATATACTACACCTTTGTTACACTATTTCTTATTGAATTACATCTTTTTCCAATTCCTACTATTAGTTCACTCTCTCCCTATATATATTCATATATATATATATATATGTATCTTGTTTGAATTTTCAATCGTTAATAAAATACTTTCTTTCATTCATTCAAGTTCAAATGCATTTTTTTAAAACTTGTAGTGGATGACACTTGGTGTTAATGCAGTTTTTTGAAATATAAATTAAAAAATGAGTAAATAGTAAGAATCTAAATTAACAGTCCGTTATGATGTATAGAAAGGAAAAATAATTCATAGTGTCCCTGTAGCGCATTGGATAGCGCATTGCATTTCTAATCCAAAGGGCGTGGGTTCGAATCCCACTGGAATGTGGTTTATTTTTTACTATACTATTTTACTAGAATAATTAAATTTAATTAATGAATAAATAATAACCAACAAAAAAAAATAGTCCCAAACCATATATGGAAAGGAAAAGGGAAAATTGCAAGAAAAATCGCTTTCCTTTTTGTCACTTAACATTGTGATTCTGTGTGATATGTTTATACATATTTATATTTAATGTAACTATTTAATGAAAAAGTAAATAAAAAAAAATTCTTTGTTGACCTAAGTAGGAGTTGATATAATTTTTCTTTTATATTCCTTGTTTTTTTTTTCTGAAAGTTATAAGTTACTCTTTGTAATGAAGCATGTTTTATCGCTTATACGTATTTATAAATTTTTACTAAAAGGACATCTCTCAATATACTACATAAAATGCGTGGTGTAATGTACATTAACACTATAAAGACTGAAACTTAGTATATGCCTATATTGCATAAAATCAGTCAAAATTACTGCATTGTGAAAGAATGATTAATGTGTAAATAAATTTGTTTAAAATAACCTTTTAATATTTTGTTTTATATTATTTACAGTCATATAACAAGTTAATAGTAAATATTAACAATAAAAAAAATTTTACTTCACTTGGAAAAAAATATATATTCTGAAAAATTCTAAGGAATTGTGCATTATATAAGTAATTGTTTTTCTAATTGAAATTAAAAAGCAGTTATATAATGACTTCCTTGGGCAATCTAGTGTTAATGTAACATTTGTGAATATACGTTAGTACACAGCGATTCTCTAACTGGTGGGTGCGCCTCCCTAGGGGGGGCGTGATAACTCTACGTGAGGGGCGGGAGCATATCGAAAAGTCGAAAATAAAAGATTTAAAAAAAAATATTACTTTACTGAAAGAAACTAAACAAAATACATTATATCATACTAAAAAGTAAAATACGCATTGCATGTTTATCGCAATCTGTCCCAATTTAGGCATTAGAAAGGGAAAAGTAACATAATACTTATCCCCCATTATAATTAAAAGTAATTTACCTAAAATATATATTACTTAAAAGTAACATAAACAAAATTTAATACTTATCTTGAAAATTTATAAGGTTTATAATGAAGGTCTTTTATTGTAGCTTTACGTCATTGTACATTATTAATACATTCAACACACTATTATTGTATGGGGTAGGGCGTTATGACAATTATGTTTGAAATTTTGGTCGCAGGTATTGAAAGTTTGAGAAGACCTGCATTAGTACATATATTTAAGCTTTAATAATACTTTTATTTATATGATTAATAAAGAGAATTAATTTTTGTTGTCAGTTTTCAAAATCTGAAACTTGAATGAAGATCGTTCACTAAATTTCGTTGAATTAATTAAAAGTAAAATTATGGCATGAAAAAGCAAAGAGTATTGGATCGTACAAACAAAGAAAGGATTTTAAAAGAAACAGGTCAAGTGGAAAACAGATACAAAATAAAATTTTAAGTTAAAAAAACAGAAAAAAAAATCCCATTAAAGTTATTTCCCAGAATTTGCGCAATGTACAGTTATATTTTAAAAAAAAATACATGTGCGAAAAGTATCAAGAGTACGATTAAAAGTTCTTACACAGGAAAAAAAATTAAGTTGTTAAAAAATGCAATATTAATTGCAATGACTAACAGTTTAAGCAAACTGAATATTTCCGCTATTTCGCTCACAATAGTAACACTATGTGATCAGACCCACAAAATGTTTTATTACCATTATCAGTACTTAGAGGAAGATAGTCTCCTAGATAGTCTTGGAAATTTTGGTTCACGTAATCATTCCATACAGCAGCACCAAATTAGATTTTTAGTGTCATATTAGCCGGAACTGAAACTTGAAACAGTGTCCAATATTGTAAAATATCCCACGACTATATCAAGCGTCTTTGCTTCAGTAAGGCTTCCTATCAAATTTAGACTGAACAGAAAGTGTGGAAATTATGCCGTGACATATTCGAAATAATGCCGTTTTGATCAAATACCTAATGATATAGAACATTTGTAAAGCAACAACACACCAATCTATACAAAGATGTGATTACGTATTCAATGAAATGAAAAGAAAAACATTTCTCACGGCATGAAACAAATGCCACTCCCTTAAGTGGGCCAAAAATCAACCTCAGTTAAATTTCAATTGAATAAAAAACTTAATTTAGTAAAATTAATCCGCATTTTAGTTCTCATGAAACAAACAATCCACCATTTAACAAGCACGTAACTCATAAAGTACAATATGTGATGGTATGGGGGATGATTGACAGTGATCGGAATTGGAAATTCGAGTATTTCCACAGACCTGAGGTACCCGTGTTCTTGAAATGTATGCTCAACTAACCTGGGGGCTCAAACTAACCTCATAGACTAACACATTTTAAATTTTCATCTTAGAGATTACCCGATTTTATTTACATCTACATGACTTTTGGGAATTGTAACCCTCCCTCCATAAGAGTGGTCTGTGTATATATGCCACTAATATATATATATATATATATGTGTGTGTGTAATTATATATATATATTGAGAAATTATTCTCTAATAGAGAATATTTGAATACTTGAAGAAAATGATCCAATATTATCCCTGAATGAATTCTGGAGCAATTCTCAAAGCTTGTCCAAGCAACTAAAATAGAAAACGTTCTCTTAACTTCCTTTTCACACTGAATAAATATGTTCTTGTCCATTTGAAATTAACACAGAAGACTGCATTAGAATCCACAGTGCCTTTCGCAAAAGTAGTATCTTAACTTATTACTCAGTTCACAACCAAGTTTCAATCCAATTGTCTTGAAATTGCATGCATGGCCATTTCTTCGCACAGTTGGAATTATTAGTATTTACTTTTAGAATTACTGTGCAATTAGGTTAACTATTTTAATGAAAAATAATTGTTGGAGAGCTTAATAGGATGGTTCACTCGCACACACGCAAAGAAAAATGTGGACTGTTCGTCTAATATTTTTATTGCGAAAGTGAATAATGCCTTTTGTACTCTATCTTCGAGAGATTACAAGGGTTGTCAATTTGTGCAGAGCTCCGTCGCCAAAGGCTATGCCTGCACGATATAAAACAATAAACTACTTTATAATTGCAACTATTTGTAATACTGGTGCT